CTCATAACATTTGGTTGAGGCTAACTTAAGTAGAGAACAGAAACTAAAAATTCAGCAATTTTTCTATTTGTAAACAGGCATAACTCTAGAATGGTTGTGTATAAGTTTTATAACATTTAGTTGAGACAAACTAAAGTTAGAGAACGGAAATGAAAAATTCAGCAATTTTTATGTTTATAAAGGGACATAACTCAAGAATGGTAAAAGTGTCGCCACCAAATTTCTTACTTAATCTGTATTATGTAGTAATAAGCATTGTGTACAAGTTTCATAACATTTGGTTGAGGCTAACTTAAGTTAGAAAACAGAAACAAAAAAATTGTACTTGATCTTAGTTTTGTGGTAATGAATATTGTGTATAGGTTTCATAATGTTTGGTTGGGGCAAACTTAAATTACAGAATGAAAACGAAAAATTTTGCCATCTTTCGATTTATAAAGGGGCATAACTCAATAATGGTTAACGTGAAACTACCCAAATTCAACTTGATCTGTGTTTTATCAGTGGAAGTCAAAATTTAACATTGCATTGTATAAAGCATTGATTGTAGTTGATTCAACTATAATCATGGACAAAGGAAGATAACTCCAATTTTAAAAATTACTTGATATTTAGAAGAAAATAAAAATTTTGCAATTTTTCCATTTATAAAGGAGCATAACTCTAGAATGGTTAAAGTGACGCCACCAAAATTCAAATTTGATCTGTGTTTTGTGGTAATAAGCATTGTGTATAAGTTTCATAACATTTGGTTGAGGCAAACTTAAGTTAGAGAACGGAAACGAAAAATTTTGCAATTTTTCCATTTATAAAGGGGCATAACTCTAGAGTGGTTAAAATGACGCCACCAAAATTCAAACTTGATCTGTGTTTTGTGGTAATAAGCATTGTGTATAAGTTTCATAACATTTGGTTGAGGCAAACTCAAGTTAGAGAACGGAAACCAATTTTGGGACGTACGTACGTACAGACAGACCAGGGTAAAACTTAATGCCCCCACCGCTACGGCGGGGGCATAAAAAGTTTAGTATATACTCATAATTGTCTCTATAACAGAAGATTATTTACCACTGAGAATTAATCATAGTGTAAATAATATCAATATGCATAACATTCCATCTACTGAAAGACGGAGACCGGAAACAGTTAAGAAAATGTTGCTTTATTATATTTTTATAATATTTTACGGAAATGGTAAATCATCTTTGAATTGATGTTTCGTAAATTGATGCAAAGATTAAACAATCTGTAAACAAGCTCAATCGAGAAATTGTGGTCTCAATCAAGATGTTCATATTGGTTAAAATAATTTTTTTCTAGTAGTGAAAAGATGTTGCAATTGTTCTTAACATAAATTTTCCATCTTGTTATTTGCACTTATATAAGTTTAAAGAGGATAGTGAATAAGATGAAACATTATATTATTAAAGACTGTATATAGAATAAGAGGATGTGGTATGATTGCAAATGAAATAAATATCCACCAGTGAGCAAAGTTCAGAGATGAAAATAAATATAGGGCTCCGTACAACCTTCAACAATGAGCAAGACAAAAACCATGTAGTAAGCAATTTAAAGACATCGGTATGACATGTTAAAATGTTGTTGTGTGAATGTCGACATCTTGATGAATTTTGCAGATATTTATGTCATTGGTATGATGTCCCATTGTCATATGCCTTTATTTCCTTCTATTTACAATACTCTCTCACACAAAAGTCATACATGTATCCATGTATGTCTCAAATTTTCATACCTTCTCTCTATTATTCTGGAAGTGGATTGAAAAAGCCTTGCATTTGGGTAAATAAGATTCAACAGTAGTGTACCGATGTTTAAGTCTCATGTATGCCGAAGACCGGCTTGTTTTTTAAGTGGCATTAGCCAAGATGGTCACCTAGTCAGTATCGGGGACTAGGATGACCATATAAGTCAATCCGATTCAATTTTGTCAAAAAAGCATGATATAAAGTTTATATTAGCAGGGAAGGATACATTATTTAGATATCCGACTCGGAACCACATAAATTATCGTAATATCATGACTGTAGGGAACCTTTAAGAATTTCCCCAGGGCCCACTATAGGTTTTTGAAATTAAATTATTATGTAACATCATCCCTAAATTGAATAATTATAGCGTTGTTAAATGATATGGTCGATCTTTTACTATTCCTAAAGATGGACATCACAGTATCATAAAAGAAGTGGGTTATTTGTATCTTTCCTGGGACTATATTATGTCCCAGATCTTTCAAAAAAAAACTTTTTGTGCAGATTTTCAGAGCATCAAGGAACTATGGGGTGTTTGTTATCCGTAAATAGGAATCATAGATTATTGGAAGTAAGGGGATCATCCTAAAATTATTTCGTATTTTCACATCTAAGAACTATGGAAAGAAGATTCATCTACAATTCATACAATTAATTGCCATAAAATCCTGGAAATCAAAGCGCGGGAGTTCTGGAACAGGCATTTGCTGAATAGTAAGCAATACGCATGTGTGCAGGTTTTCCCCTTTTTGAACAAGTACAAGATTAGATCCTTCATTACAAGTCATGAAATAATTCCATAACAAATTTCACTGGTATAACAATTCTCAAATATATTAAAACACTTTTATCAATATGAGATATAAAAATACAATGATCTACTGTCACTTGATACAGCCAATAGAAACGTGGTATTGTAAATCAGATTGTATTCATAAATAATCATTTTGAAATAACAGTTTCCATCTTCTATAGTTTTTGCCAAAAACGCAAAACTAATCCCTATAAGTCAACTGACAAATTAGTTACATAAATGCCAAGAATTGGTAAAAACAGTCTTTCAAGAGCAATAACTCCTATTAGAAGGCAATTGACCATTTCGGCCTTGTTGATTTTCTGGAAATATCTGTACCAAGTCAGGAATATGACATTGTTTTTTTCACTCGTTCAGTTGGTTGATAACGTTTGATTTTGTCAGTTTTTAATGGACCCCCACCCCCTCTTGTTTAATTTATCTTGGAGTTCGGTAATTTTGTTCTTTTGAGTTAAGCCAATTGGAATTAATTCTTATATTGTGCTCTTGTTAAGACCTCTGTACCAGGTTAGGGGAGGGTTGAGTGCTCACAAACATGTTTAACCACGCCACCTTCTTTATGAGCCATTAGTTAAGTGGTTGTTGTCGTTGGTCCTTCGTCTGCCATGTTTTTTCATAAATTAGGCGAGTTTTTTCGTTTGAATTTTTCACGTTCCAGGTGGGGCCTTTTATAGCCTACTATGCGGTATGGGTTTTTCTCATTGTTGAAGGCCGTACGGTCGCCTATAATTACTTACATTTACTTCATTTGAACTCTGGTGGATAGTTGTCTCATTGGCCATCCTACCACATTTCCTTATTTTAATACTGATCTTATTGTTCTGGAAGTTTTTACTGTTTGAAATTTTTCTCGATTATATCTTTTAAGATAACTTTGAAATTTGCAAAAAAATAGACATAACAGGGGCAATAAATCCAATATTGATAGTCTTATTTTTCTGAAAATTACATAGGAGATAGACCTTCTGATCATTTTTAAGCTTTGTCAAGTTGTGCTCTCTAAACTGTTTCAATTTTGAGATGTAAGCTAAAAACAAAAATTTACGAAAAATTGACATTTCTAGGGCAATAACTTCAAAGTGGGTTGTTTGATTTTTCGAGTTGATTTTTCTGAAAGAAAATATAAAGATAGACCTTGACTTGCTGATAGTATTTACTGCGTCAAGTTTTGCTAGAACTGCTTTGATTTTTAAAATAGAAACCCAAAACTGCATTTTACTACCATGTTCTATTTTTGGCAACAGTGGCCATGTTTGTTCATGGATTGAATCCCTGGATGCAATTTTTCAAACTATTTACCCTAAGGTATATTCAGGTAAAGTTTGGCAACATTTGGCCCAGTAGTTTCAGAGTAAAAGTTTTTTTTTCTAAATTTACGATGACGGATGACAAGTCAGGGCAAAGCTCTCATGAATTTTCAGGCAGGGCAAGCTAAATATGGGTAAAAATTGTCTTTTAAGGTAGATAGGGTGTCTTCCTCCATCTTTGATTTTGAAATACCAGAAAACAATCGGTCTAGATCTTTAAGAAAATGTGCAAAATTTGAGAGTAGTAGGTAATTCATGTGTAAGAATTTTCATTTCAATATAGAAAATGACATGTTTTATCATATTTATGGTTGTATTTTACAAAAAACAGAATACTTTTGTTTGATTCAATTTTTTCCAACTTTGCCACATAAGGGGAGGCAACTCAAATGTAAGGGCAGATAATTCAGATAAAGTTACTTTTACAATAGAGGGTGTTAGGAATTTACCTATTTTATTATGTAGCAAGAAAACGGGTCCCATGACCCCATTTTTTCTTTTTCTTATCTGAAAGCATAATATTAGAGCTATCTTCTGATATTTTATCTCAAAATTCTATGGTGTAATTTTCTTTTTATGACAGAAAATTGGATTTTCTATGCATAATCTATACAAAATCTGTCAATTTTGCACAACCTGTAGCGTGAAAATAAGCCAAGTGACCCATTCTTTTTATTATTTTTTTAAAAAAGCATGATATAAACTACATTTTTGCAAATTATTAAAAAATTCTATGGATTATAATTTAGACACCCCATCTACCTTAAGGGCAATAACTCCTATAAATAGTCATCTTACAGTTTTGATGTAAATGAAGGTAGATCTCAACATTCTGAACTTTCTATCGGTGAGATTTTCTATTTCAATAGCAGTTTTCAAGTTTATAGACATAACTTGCATTTTACCATGTTGATTGTTTGGATCAATGGCCGCATTTTTAAATCTAGAAACCCAAATGATGATTATGGCTAAGTGTGGTTACAATTGACCAAGCAGTTTCAGAAGAGATGTTTTTTTTTTTAACTTTAATAGACGACAGATGCAAAATGATGAGAATAGCTCGCTTAGGTCAGGTGATCTAAAAAACTGTGACAAACAAAAAAATAATTCAATGTACTTTCAGTTTTATTCTATTTTTCCATTTCATGATAAGGTGAACCAATGCCTAATGCTTTATATAACAAATTAAGAACAATGCATCAAATGGCATTGGCACAAAACACTACAAATATACAAAATTAGTCTGCTTCTCAGTCAACAGTATCTTATATAAAACTACATATGTAAAAATTTCAATAGAAAATAATTTAATGGTATATTATAAAATATTTTGCTGTATCCTGGAGTAAAATCTGCGTAACACATCAATCAAAAGAAAAATAAATGGACACAGATGATGCCCCCGTTTGCATAAAACATTATAAAGGAACATAACTCAAGAACGGTAAAAGTGACGCCACCAAAATTCAAGCTTGATCTGAGTTTTGTAGTAATAAGCATTGTGTACAAGTTTCATAACATTTGGTTGAGGCAAACTAAAGTTAGAGAGAGGAAATGAAAAATTTTGCAATAACTCTAGAACTGTTTTGGCAAACTAAAGTTAGAGATCGGAAACCAATTTTGGGACGTGCGTACAGACAGACAAGGGTAAAACTTAATGCCCCCTCCACTAAGGCGGGGGCATATAAAGTAATCCTATATGAAGCTCATTACTTAGCATTTTTTTTAAATCTAAAAACAACTTTTCCTCACAGCCGTTATTTAAGTAAGATAACTATAGATAGTTTGGATATAAAATTTCTGTCTTAAAGCAAGAAGCATGAAAAACATTTTATTTATGCACATGTGTCATTTATGACTGCATGTCCAATTTATGTATGCACATTTCCTGAGAAAGTGTTGGGTTTAGGGTGGATTTTGGAAATCCCTTCATTCTCTGCCACATAAGGTTCATGAAGTAGACCTTATCTAATGCCTTTCTAAAGTTCTACTACAGAATGATTTAAGAGACAACAAATGGGAGAGAATTGCATTGTTCTGGTCCTAAATTAGGAGCAGCCCATGATTTTTTAATTCATTTCTCTCTAGTTAAATTTGAATTTCTATTGGCTTATTCTGTGAATTAATACTTGAACCACTACAGCCTGATGTAAACATTTGGTTAAACAGAAAAAGAGATAAATCAATTAACTAATGAGGACTACTAATGAAGCAAGATATGAAAAGTCCACAAAAATAACCTGTAAAATATGAACACAGTAAGGTGTATAGATCTACATTCACATTCTTTATGAACACATTTTTTTATTTGAACACATTAAGTATTAATGAGTACTATGCTGAATGGAGTTTCCGTAATATCAAATCTTACAAAATCTGTATTTGTAATGTAATTTGAAAATTGATCTTCCTGTGAAAATTGCACTGTGAACTTTATACTGTCTGGACGATCATCTTCCTTTTCCTGTCCAGGTTAAACCTGTTTGACCTAAATATATCACTTTCGTAGAAATTTGTCAGGTTACTGATGTTGATTTGTCGTGCCTGCAATTAAACAAAACAAAATGACAATTAAACATCTTTGTATTATTATATGAATGATAAAAAGGTTTTCGATTAAGAAACTCCTACAATGTCTACCATATCCCCTTTTAATAATAAGTTCTTTGTTCAATAAACTGCTTTGCCGAGCGCAGCTGGATACGACTGCAGAGGTCCAACCTGAACAGTTGGAGCAAAAATGGACACAATATTCAAGCTTGATACAGGTCTGAATTTGGATTGTAATTAAATATTTGACACATTATAGGTTTCTGACACAGAATAAATGAAGTCAATGTACTTGAAATTGGTTATATGATTTGAATTTATATTCAATTGAAGATTTCTTGCTGTTGTGCAATACACTGTGCTGTTGCGCAATACTTGGTAAATCTGTTTTCAGAATTTATACAAAGAATAAGCAAAATAATTGTGACCCCCAATTTTTTTTTTTGGAAAATTGATAATTTCTTAAATCTTGAGGGAAAAAAACATATTTGAAGAAATTTTCTTTTTGGAAAATGTGGTACAATTTAAGAGACATCCATACACTTAAACACAAGTTATTGTCTGAAAACTAGAAAATTGCTTGTTTTGGCCTCTTTTTGGCCTCTAATTCCTGAACGGTTGGGACCATCACTCCCAAAAACAATCCCAACCTTCCTTTTGTGGTATTGAATCTTTTGATAAAATTTCATCGAGATCCATACACTTTAACTGAAGCTATAGTCCGGAAATGTCTACGGACGACGATGCGATAGCATTATATGAATGCAAATTTTTTGCGGTCGTATAAAATTCATTTAAAAAACAAGTTCTTCATAATAGTTATATAACTTTGCAAAAATATGGTTTATTCTATTATCACTGAATACTGGAAAATAGAATACAGGAAAAATGAGCCATACTTGGATAAAAAGATTGGCAAAACCACACATGTATTTAACTTAAGTAAATTTCTATGTCCGATAACTAAGCTTTCTTCAGTTTCAATACTATATTTGTTTGATGCAAGTATGAAGCTGTCATAATAATATAATACAAACCTTATCTGCCAAATCTTTTTCTGAAATTTCTATGGTCTCTTGGTCAAGTCCAAATCTGTTCCTCTGGAATGACATCTGATCCATAGCTAATTGTTTCAAAATAAACAGTAACAATTCATTGTTGTCCTTCTTGTATGTCAAATATCTGCTAAATGTCTACAAAATAGAAATGTCATAATATAGTTTATCACCTATACATAGTATATATGGTATAACAAATTCTTAGACTCTTTTAAGATTTTTCAAAAATGTTTTTTAACACGTTATAATTCAAAAATTCTTCTGACACCAGTTTCTGATTTTTTTATGATTTGATTTTAGACAATTTTTGTTAATTTTCAAAACTAGCAATGTCAACTGATAAAATGCTTGTGGAAATTACATATGTTGAGGTAAACCTTTTTCCACGTTTGATTTATTTGGCTCGTCATGGACTCAATTTTGTTATTCTTATAGAACAATTTTACTTTCATTTAATCAGGAATGTTGTGTTGTGTTGTTTTTCTGTTTAAGAACCTCAACATTTCCCAAATAAATGTGCATAAAAGAACACTTGTTACACCTTCAGACATATTTCTCATAGTTTATGATTTAACTGATTAAGTAATACTGGAAAATATAGGTTTTTACTGTGAAACCCCTGTTTATGAAGTATCTATACTTACCTGCATCAGCAGGTACATGTATGGATGGCCTGGACATATTGTAAAAAGTTGATGCAGGTAAATATAGATATTGTTATAAATAATATGCCTTCTTTAGGACATGTCTACAGAGTGTTATTATTATAAGACATTACTTATTTTATGTCTTTTCTATGTTAATAGAATTTTAAGGGAGACTTGGAATCGAAAAAAGGGTCAAATGGACTTCCAAATGGCACTGAAACTGGAGAAAGATTTTAAACTATAGTGTCAACTCCCAAATACATCAATTTTATTCCTACTGGCCCCAGTAAGCTTACCTTTCTCATTGTTCTTGTGATGCTGAACTTTTGTGTACTAATGAAACTTTCCAACATAATTCTCATGGCCATGTTGACATCATCTTCATTAACATAATCTCTCAGGTGCATCTTAGCATGTCCCTCTGCTAAACGTATCATGGACTCAATATGTCGGACTGTAATTGGTATACTTCCTGTAGCCTGTAAAAAGTCCAATAAAAATTACTAGCAACTTATTTTCTAGATCCCAATTAATCAAAAAGAAGTGGTAACTTTAGGCAAATTATATTCGGGTCTAATTTTACAGAAAAGGATGATCAGATCAATGCGGAAAAAAATCATGATTGTTTTATTTCTTAATTATTGTTCTTTTTTTCCCTCTTTATCTAGTGTTTTACAGGTTGTACATTTAATTGATAATTCATACATTATGCATAATTAGTTTTTACAATAATAGTTTCCTTTAAATGTGTCTGTTCAATGTAAGATGTTTGGCCTTCCCTCAGTTAGCACTTTCTTTTCACTAAAAACACAATATTCAGTATAAAATAGTCTACCTGTCAGGTGAAAAGGTAAATATTAGTTTTCAGACAACTAATCGACCTTCATGTTAATGAGAGGGTATATAAGCAGGCTAGTTTTTAGAGTATTTATTCCATATATCACTTTTATAGCCGGAAAAGTGTACCTGTGCTAGGCAAAAAGTCTCAAGTCAAAACGATTGACAAAACCTCAAATCTTTTATCTGAATTATGTTAAAATTGCAAACCCACTTTTGTTGTCAACTTCAGTCGTACTCACGCCAGACATGAAAAGTTTTGATGTCATGTCTGGAAAATATGGATCTTACCATTGATTCTCTTCTCAATTCTGAGTACATCTTTGCAACTTTATCTTGGTCCATTTGATGGAGTTTTGGATGAACTTTGTCTTTACAATAAATAATGTATTTCTTAAGTAAATCCTGAGGTAATGGCTCAACTGATGCACTTGTATTCAACAGATTCTGAAACAGAATACAAATTAATACAAGTAAAGTAATGATTTATAAAAGTTTGCCCATTATTTATGTACTATTTTTGGCTATGTTGTTGGTCTGATGTAAGGGAACTAAATCTTGTTATTTAATTGTACAATTTCTCTCTTAAATGTTAATTCAGACATATTTTTTTTTTGCTTTCTTCATTATAGTGTTGATCAAATTAGCAGCTTTTACCCGAATGATTTGTTTTTTAAGGACTGGGTTAAAGGTGGTTCCCAAATTGATTGTGGTGGTGGGGGGGTGAGAGGGATAATTGTGGGTGGTTGCATTTTTCTGAGTTTGGTAAGAATTAAAAGTAAAATGAAAATTTTATAATTTGTAGATGGTTTTGGTCTAAATAAAGTGCCTCCCATGCATTTACTTCTGAAACAGCCATATAATAAAATTCACTAAAAGGTCACAAAAATTCTCCCTGCTACTAACGCATAATAATCATACCAAATTTTCATCTGCTTGAGCATCTGTTGCATTAGGATGATGTTTAATGTGACTGCCTGTTACAAATCTAGCTAATCTTTCATCCTACAAACAATATCAATATCACATTTTAAAATTCAGCTGTAAATATAATATAAAATGGATCCATTTCTTTCATATCATTTGCTTGTTTTGACTCTGACAAAGAAACTTAGTTTTGTTTTCAATTATTTTGGTTTCTTTTCTTTATAAACTGCACAGGAATTCATGGATTCAGTAACTTTAGACTAGGGAAGATTCCTCACTCAATGCAATAACATTAAAAGTTGAAAAAGATATTTCTTCTCATTATTATTCATTAATGTTGTCATGTCAGTAAGAGTTATACTTTAGAGTTGGATATATTTCAATTTCTGAATCAATTATTTTTTTCATTATTTGAATTCACAATGAAAAGAACAACTCGTCAAGTCAATAAATTCTAGAGATGTAGCGATACATAAGAATTTCGTCATGAACTTCATTGTTTCAGGAAAAACTTGATACATACTTGTCTTTCAACATAAGATCAATAAAGGATTAAACTGAAGTGATCCTGATTATATATTCCTTATATTTCCCTCTCTAATAAATTGACTCATTTTTTACTTTATATACCTGTATTGGGTCAACTGTATCTCGAACAACACACAGGACGTCAAATCTAGACAAAATAGGCTCTGTTAAATCCACCTGTAAATGTCATAAGCCAGTTTCATGATTAGTCAAATTATATTAGAATTAAGGAACAAACAGTATTGCACATAAAGATTTGTTACGGTCAATTGGGGATTTGACTATGGCAAATGCAATTTTCTCCAGCTCCATGGAGCAGAGCCAGTAAAAACCATAATTAAAATCCCAGATTGACAATGGCAGATTTTCAAATACAGAACTGGTATTCCTATTGAATGCATTCCAAAAAATATTCCACTAAGCTTGATAAAAACTTTAATAAAATTCCTGCTAATGGAATCATACTTCTATAATAAATTTATCTATGATACAAGTATCCCTGTTGATTTTCTTTACAGATATCTGTATAATTTTCAATTGAATTCTGTAATCGTAATCTAGATATTACTGCATGCATTTCAAAATTGCATCTGTTGATCAATGAACAAAATGCGATTATTTATATAGGCTGCATCAAAAATAAGGAGATCAGAATTCAAATTGCAAGTTCTTATCAACAGATAAACTATCCCATCGCATTTTAATCAATAATAAATAAAATATCCCAGAAAATTCTGATTTAAAGTAAACAATTTTTTAACATTTAACTATAAAAATTCCTTAAATTGAAAAATTACATTTTCAGCAAAGGTCAATGATGGGTCATATCTTCCACCAATGGGATTAGCTGCAGCTATAATACAACACCGAGCCTGAAGGGAAGTAACTATTCCAGCTTTAGAGATAGATATACTCTGTTGTTCCATAGCTTCATGTATACTTGTACGATCAGCATCGTTCATCTGTGAAAAAAACACTTTTTTTAACATTTCAATTTCATATTGTGAAATTCCTTGAATAGTGCACTCTAAACATTTCATTTTACTATCACTTGTGATTTCCAATTCATCCTAATGTTACTTGGAAATTCTTGAAAATTTTGTTTAAAAAAAATGCCCAGGAGTCCCAAGCACCATTCATCTGCCCTGCAATATTCATTTTTTTTGTTTTGTTAGTTGGCTCCCACAATGATGTATACCAAACATATCATTTTATTCATACTTTGACAAATTTGGTAGTTGTAATTAGAACCTTTTGGTTTTATGCTCTCTATAGTATTGATCCCATTGTGAATTTTTGTCGAAAATTTGCAAACAGGACTATTTTCTCCTGGACAATTCAAATATGTTATAAAAAATATACCTTCATGTGATACTTTTAGAGATAAATGGGTTCAAGCATAAGGTTATGTTGTTCAAGTTTCTAGTTTGGTGTTTTATCATTTATTCTTACATAAGAAGCTCAACATAAGCATTATGTTTTTAAAATACTTGTACTTGTCATTACCTATGAAATAAAAAATAATAGGCACTGACTAAAATCAATGCTTCCATATCAATGCATTCATATCTTATTTTCTTACGATCAATGAATTTACATATATGGTGATAAAGTGAAGTCTAATCTAGATTTTGTATATGAATTATACTTTTATTTTACCTTGTCAAACTCATCAATTAAACAAATTCCTTTATCAGCTAATACTAATGCACCTGCTTCCAGGGTCCATTCCCTGGACACTGGATTCCTTTGGACATATGCTGTGAGACCAACAGCTGAGGCTCCTTGTCCAGTGGTAAATACAACTCTTGGAGCAGTTTTTTCTACATATTTAAGAAACTGTGACTTAGCTGTTCCTGGGTCACCACAACATAGGATGTTTACATCACCTCTCACTTTATGTTTTCCTCCTGGATTTTTAGGTTCACCTCCAAAAACAGCTAATGCTATGGCACGTTTGATGTCTTCATGACCATAAATAGATGGTGCTATGCTTGCAAATATCTACAAGATAAAGAAATATAAAAAGAAGTGTAACAGAAATAACAATATGTATCCTACAAGGGCAGGAGTCCCCTTGCAAATGCACATAATGGTATATTACTACCTGACAACCCAACTAGTACTGCTCCTTGTCATCATTGTGTCCTCATTGTAGCTCTATAAACTTAAATGAAACTTTGATTAACTGTTTAGTTTGTATTGCTTTGGAAAGTTTTTGATCTAGGCCCACACTTCAGTTCCACTTTGACAAGAACTAAAAGTCTGTTAGGGTTCCGCAGAACCCAGTGTCTCGCCTACTTTTGCTGCTAGTCACAGGCTCAACAAAAATGGGGAAAAAATCATTAAAAATTTTCTTATAGATACTATCTTTTGATTGTAAGAAGCTTCTGTCCAAGTTTGGTAAAAATCCAGAATGGTTTATGAATCTAATAAATGTTTTAAAAACTTAAACTACAGACTGTATGTAATGTTAACTGGAAGAAAAACTAAGTCCATTTATAAGTAATATACGGAAAAACAGGAAATATATTTTTACAAAATTTCCTTCTAGATACTAGCTTTTGATCATAAACAAGCTTCTGTCCAAGTTTGGTACAAATCCAGGGGGGTTTAAGAAAGTTATTAAAACTTTAAAAACTTTAACCACAGAGTGAATGTACTGTTAACTGGCAGAAAAACTAAGTCCATTTATAAGTAAAATACGGAAAAACAGGATTTTTTTTTTGCAAAATTTACTTCTGGATACTATCTTATGATCACAAGCAAGCTTCTGTCCAAGTTTGGTAGAAATCCAGGATAGTTTAAGAAAGTTATTAAAATTTCAAAACTTTAACCACAGAGTGAATATTTGTGAACGCCGCAATGTAGGATCGCTATGTCTTGCTTTTGCAACAAAAGTTGCAGGCTCGACAAAAAAAAAAAAGGTGTCATCATCTTTTTGAAGAGATTATGTTTATAAAAGCTTGATGACCCATCTGTTTGGTTTATTGAGTTAAAAATTGATCCATTAAACTTGACTACTTGTCCAATAAAGACTTCTTATGTTGATTATGTGTATTTAACAAGAGTGCACATGCTGAAATGTCTCGCCTTCTTTACTAATCATTGATATTATGTTGATAGTCCTAAATATAAAGCTTTATTACAACTGTCACATAAACTTAACATTAACCAAGTAAACTAAACATTGACCAATGAACCATGAAAATGAGGTCAAGGTCAGATGAACCATGCTAGGCAGGCATGTACAGCTAACAATTCTTCCATACAACAAATATAGTTGACCTATTGCTTATAGTTTAAGAAAAACAGACCAAAACACAAAAACTTAACACTGAGCAATGAATCTTGAAAATGAGGTCAAGGTCAAATAAAACCTGCATGACTGAAATATAGATCATAAAATATTTCCATACACCAAATATAGTTAAACTATTGCATATAGTATTAGAAAAAAAAGACCAAAACTCAAAAACTTAACTTTGACCACTGAACCATGAAAATGAGTTCAAGGTCAGATGACACCTGCCAGCTAGACATGTACACCTTACAATCATTCCATACACCAAATATAGTAGACCTATTGCATACAGTATAAGAAAAACAGACCAAAACACAAAAACTTAACTATAACCACTGAACCATGAAAATGAGGTCAAGGTCAGATGACACCTGCCAGTTGGACATGTACACCTTACAGTCCTTACATACACCGAATATACTAGACCTATTGCTTAGAGTATCTGAAATATGGACTTGACCACCAAAACTTAACCTTGTTCACTGATCCATGAAATGAAGTCGAGGTCAAGTGACTGTCTGACGGGCATGAGGACCTTGCAAGGTACGCACATACCAAATATAGTTATCCTATTACTTATAATAAGAGAGAATTTAACATTACAAAAAATCTTAACTTTTTTTTCAAGTAGTCCCTGAACCATGAAAATGAGGTCAAGGACATTGAACATGTGACTGACGGAAACTTCGTAACATGAGGCATCCACATTCAAAGTATGAAGCATCCAGATCTTCCACCTTCTAAAATATAAAGCTTTTTGGAAGTAAGCTAACGCCGCCGCCGGATCACTATCCTTATGTCGAGCTTTCTGCGACAAAAGTCGCAGGCTCGACAAAAATGTATAAGATTAAATTTGATTGTGCTGACCAGAATTTAATCTGGATCATTGACTTCAACATGACCTTGGCAATCTCTCATAGTAAATTAATGTAAACCAAGTTTGATGAAGACAGGCCAAGCAATTAAGTCTTATTTTGAAAAGTGGATATATGTCAGAAAATGACTTGAACACAAACACAAATTCCTTGGATTAAAAGAAACTTTATAAGCTATATTCCCCATTCCTACTTTGCTGCTGAGGGGATAGTAAGCATTTGTAAACAACATGTAAATGTCAATATATCCATGAAAATTAGCTTTACAGTAACATTTAGATAAACATGCCTGCATCAAGGGTTACAGATGGTTGATACATTATGCACAAAATATGAAATTTCTAATCACCATTATTCTACATGAATTTTCCACCACAAATCTTCAAAATGTAATTTTCTCTGAGCAATTTAACTGATATTTACATTACATGTTCACAAAAATCACAAAAGTACCTGATTGTTGTAGAAATGAGCTCAAGATGTTTTTTCCTACGCTAACAAAAAATTACTAAGTCTAATACTTACTATACTTACTCTTATGTAGTCTTAAGAAATATTTTTTTCTTCTTCAAAAAACAGAAAAGAAATGAACATAATTCTACAATCATAAAGATTTCAAAAGGTGTCTTCCATAAATCTTAACTGATAAAAATCTTACTCTTTCCCCTATTCTCTCATCCTTTGACAATTGAACCACAGCTTTAATATCTTCATCTGTCAGATTTGCTGCAGCCAGTTTGTCATCTTTTTTTGTGATGAAATTTGCCTGTATTACTGTGGCAAATACTGGAAATCCATTCTGTGTGTTTAATGAACCATCATAGTTATTATGGTAGATACCAGTCAATTCCTGTCAAAATACACGAGATATATACTTATTGGTCTTTCTTATCTGACAAGAAGTTAACATGAGGACAGTATTTCTCATCCTGACCACATCTTACCCAGGAATTCATGACCAATTAGTGTTGAACTTCTTTATTCATTATTCATAGTCAGGAGAACATATAAGAATGACATGGATGATAATACTTGATTGAACATGTTGAATAAAGACTAAAGTTATGCGCATTTTCCAAAATATTCAATAGAGGTACAACAAAAAGCAGTTATCTAAATAAATGTTATAAACATAAAAAGAACCCTTTTCTTGTTACAACAGCAAAAAAGACAGTACAATTTTCAAAATTTTTACCATAATCTGTCTTAACTAATTATTTAATATGTACTTTGTATAAAATTCTGGACAAATATAAATAAATCATTGCTATTACATTTAATAGATTCAGTTAAATCCTCTACACAATAATATGAAAATAATCAACATACAATTTCATCACCCGGTTTACACGTGTCTACCAAATCGTCAAGTAATATAGCATCTTTAGATCGAGGAAGTCTACCAGCGGGTACTTTACCAGGACTTTCTTGAATAGTTATTCTTTGGTAATTCTTATATAAAGTCTGAAAAAAATTAGTTAAAAAAACTATATTTGTCATAAACTACATCTCTGGAACAGATAACCATCAAGCAAAATATATAACACTCGATTACTGAGTAAGGTAAAACAAATAAGCTCTGTCCAAGAATAGTTTTATGGAGTGTTTGAAGGCACTTTTTCTGACCACACCATCAGAAAGTTTTTCAAGTGAACTGCACTGGATTTTTGTAATTATCCACCACCCATAGTAGTTAAAATATTATTGCTTTCAAAACTCCTGACTATTTCTAGGACAACCTTAACACATTTCTCTGTTTAACTCAATGGTTTAGACTATCTTTTAGACTATCTTACATCAACCTCACAATAAGTTTTCATATTGACCCTTATACATTTTCATCTTGACCCTTACAATACAGATTCAATCCTCTGAATCTCATGCAATTCTGATCTCTCATAGATTTTCTTAAATTTAGATTAAGCAAAGCTATTTATTTAAATTAAAAGAACCCCATCAAAATTTATATACATGTTGATCAATAAACCTACTCTTCTGTCTTAAGAATTATGAACAACAAATTAAGACTGGTTACCTGTTCCATGTTGATTTCAAATGGTCCAGTTGACTGACATTCCGGACAAGAACCAGGCTTGATTTCTTGACTCTGTGACTGATAAAATGGTCCAAGCAAAAAGTTACATTTGTTACAATCATATTTAATAACATTCAATTGGGGCATGACTCCTGTTGAGCTTGTTACTACACCACTGGTACGTATCAACTGATTCAAATGTAACTGTCTGTGAAAAATTAAATAAAAAACATTGTTAAGTATAAACTTATCTTTCATAAAAATTAGAGTTAAGAACTTCTGAAACATGGCTCCCTTAGTAACCATGTATATTTTAATGGAATCAAAATTAATTTTAACACAAAATAAAATCATATATGAGCTCTAGAAAATTTCATTTAACATCTATCCAACTGATTAAACATTATTCAAACAGTACTTATCTTAATATAAACAATGAAATTATTTTGTTAAGAGTGGAAAACTGAAAAACAAGTTTTTTTGGTTTTTTTTGTAAAACTTCAAAATGAAGAAAAAATAAATTCATAGCTTACCTTAATGATCTTAATTCTTCTATAAGTGGAAGTTCAGCTATTCGAACATGGATCGATTTCACAATTTTGTCATAATTGGGATACATACTCATAACAACCTCTGTACCAGCCTGTAAAACAATCATAAATTTTTTACTTTTGGAAAAAAGGTCTCCCTCTAGTAAACATGACAGTAATTTTGTTACTTGTCAAGGCTATAGAATTTATTTGTCATCAACACTTTAAAAGGATTTGAAAATGTCTCCAGAATACCTTAAAAAATAAAACCTCAGGAGCATGCATTGTATGCAGTATTTTTTTCTATAAGCGATATCTTGGAAAATGTTATGCATTCATCAATCTTTACTATAAACCACCTTTGTTGTCTCATGTTGAAGGTAGTGATTTTGATTTCCCGCCAAAGACTAGAAAATTAGTATTTCCTGCTTTTCCTTTAAGCACACAATTTAGGGGTAAGAGCATTGGCTCAGTCATACTCATGTGCCAGGATAGGGTGATATGTCTTCTTGTAGTATTTCCTTGTGAACTAGAACATTAAAAATTCTGCTTAGGTAGTTGGTTTAGTATAAAGCAGGGTTTATATTCATATCACATTAACATGTCCTTGGCCACTGGACTTGAAAATTCAATCCATCATCATCATCTACTGTACAATATTTCAATTTCATCTTAATTTTCATAATTTTATCACAATTGTCATAAATATTTCATAAATATGCAAGGTAAAGAATTATTGGATTCATTAATGCAAACTTAGCAATCTTCTGTATTTTGAACAAAACAGATTTTTCTTTTGGAAAAAAACCTGGTTAAAAACTATATTTTGTAAATTGAGGTATTTTGTGAACTAAAATACCATTAGCAATATTGATATGTTACCTCATCAAAATTTGTCAACATTTCAGCGGGAGCTTCAGGCAAAAAGTATGCTAATACTTGTTCTACAGAGGCCAGCATATTGTAATCGACTATTAAACTTTCTTTGTTTGCTGAAACAAAAAGAATTAGATGCAATATATGACAAACAATAGATACCATTATTTCGAAGTGTCTCCAGTGTACAACAGTAATCTTGTACACAGCTGATTATAATTCATCATTGAAACAAGCTGTTGAATCCATTTGTAAGGGAAATTTTTTTATTGTAAACCTACTTAAGATTAGCAGGCGATTTATTTTCACGACTTTCACCAGTAGATAAATAAAGTGAATTTAATAGTTATGAATATGTCAAACTTAAGATATTCTCTCATATGAATACATGAACAAAGTTAAAAGTTTTAAATATAAATTGCAGCAAAAATCAGCTGAAAAAGGCTAAATGCCAAAAAAAAAAAAGTATCCTTGAAAATAAGTTTATTTACAGAACTCTTTACATTCCTAATGATTTCCCAGATATATATGCAAATTTATACTTACTACAGCAAATTAGAAAGTTCATTTTCCTTCTTATCTTCTTCAAATAGCATCTTTTCAGAATGTTTAAACTAGCTTAGATTTAATTTAACAGAAAAATCAAGGAAATCACACTTTGGTAAAAAATTAAAGTTCATTTTTTTTCATTCATAAACAATAGTGAAAAGTGACCCAATTGCATTTTTTTTTATATTTTTGTATGAAGAGAACTTTGAAAGTATGATAGAACTTCTAATTACCTTCTACCATTTGTCTTATCTTTTCTCTATACACATTGTGGCCTTTCTGATCTACAAATGTTCTAAGGAAATTTTTAAATCTATTCTTGATTTCTGTTTTAGGCCCTAACATTGATACCCATTCTCGTACAGAATGGCCCTTCATGTCTTCTAAATTCTCTATACTTTCTATCATCTGGAAAACAAAGTGAATACATCAAAAATATAATTGATCAAGAACCTCTAGAGTTTATCAATATCTGTCAACCTCTCAACTATTTTAGTTCGCCTACATTTCAAAGTAATAATTTCATTGTATTTATTAAATCATTAAAAACATTTCATTTGTACAAATATAAAAAAAGATCAATGCCAATTTTTAACTCCTGACCTGAAGGTCTGTGAATCTATACATCCTGCAACACCACACACAGACACCCCTCTTTAACATGGGTTTTTCTGCAGGATTGGAATATTTCTTTACCCAAGTCAACCCTTAGGGTTTTAAATGATGACATAATTGTATTCACAATAAAGACTGTAAAAAATCATTTTAATCAATTCACTATTTCAGGAGATGCGGGAAATGGACAACTGCTTTTGAGCCACCTGTACATAATCATACAAACCTCTTCTTCTTCAACATCTCCTTCAGCAGCCCTTTCTGCACGTCGTCGTTTTCTTGGAGCTTCGTCATCTTCTTCATCAGATTCTTCTGCAAAAAAAAAGATCAAAATTAACTGATATGTGCCTTCAAATGATAAACATGGAATAAAAAGAAGATAATAAGCCATTGATTAACTATTCAATAACTTTAGATGTTACTGTAGGAACTGAGATAATTCCTCAACATAGCTTTTTTTTCTAAGGTATGGAAATATAGTCTCCTGGAATTCTTATGTCACATAAGGGGCAAGGTTTGGCTAAGAGAAAGTATAAATATGCCATGTGGCAGTCCAAAGTTCAAGCTGGTATCCAGGTGAAAACTACATTGCTGATACTACTAACTGAAATGTTTGTCACTTTACTTATAGCAAACAACTAACTATCAATCAATAGAGACTTCCAATAAGTAAACCTAAAATATAAATCTTAAGTGTTTTATTTCAGGTTGCACTATCAAGCAATAGAAGAAATTGCTGATGATTATAACTTACCATACATCAAGCCCCTTCTCATACGACCATACAAAACACCTTCTTCTTTCTCTCTCTGACGTATTTCTCTTTCTGCAGCTGCTCGTTGTGATTCTGATATGTCAGAGAAATCTCCCTCATCGAGACCCTCTTGATCATATACATCTAATGCAGGGATTGGACGATAATCTCTGTGGAGGTTAAAAATAAGGGTTCAAATATGTCAATCATAAATAATAATTGCCTTAAAAATGGACAAAAGACTCAAATGTCTGGGTTGTGCAAATTATTTCTTAAACAATGGAGAATGGTCTATTCTGAACATTTAAATATATGAAAATATAAAACATAATGCAAAAAATGGAGGAAGAAATCTCTTTTGAAAATTTTGATGAAAAAGTACTGAGTTCTCAAGCCTGGAACATGAAACTAGAGGCTCTAAAGAGCCTGTGTCCCTCACTTTGGTCTATGTGCATATTCAACAAAGGACACTCTCCAACATTGTAGACAGGAATAGAATTCATGAAAAAAATCTGCTTTGTTGATCTTGTATGGCTGATAATTTAGCCTATTTTGTTTCTCTCTATCTTCTTTAGTTTTTTGCTCAAAACACATAATAGGATAAAAAAAATCCTCATTTAAGGGCAATCACTCCTATAAAGAGTGACAGTCTACTAAACTATATTGTCAAAATTTGACTTGTTAGTAGATCTTGACTTGATCATTTTTGTGATTTAAAGTGTATCTTTATCTATTATAATTTTCTATCATATATGGCAAAATGCAAAAAAAAAATTGAAAATCGTCTTTAAAGGGCAATAACTCAAATAAGGAGTCGTCTGACCATTTCCTCCATATTGTCTTCATTTTAGATTTTATTTTGCTGATCATTTTTGCCTAGCTAAGTTTCTATCTGTCTAATATAATTTTAAGATATAAGGCAAAAACGCAAAAAAATTGGTCAAAATCATCATCAAATGGCAATAACTCTAATAAGGAGTCGATTGACCATTTCGACCATGTTGACCTATTTGTAGAACTTGTCTTGCTGATCATTTTAAAGTTTCTCTGTATCTATTATAGTTTTCAAGATAGTAAGCAAAAATGAAAAAAAGTGGTAAAATTTGTCATTTAAGGGCAATAACTCCTATAAGAAATCATCTGACAGTTTTGACATGTACAGACAATTGGTAGAGCTCAACTTTTTGAACATTTTTGCTCTTGTCAGATTTTCTCTCTTTATAATGGTTTTCAAAATAATAGACAAAACTTGCATTTTACCCCCATGTTCTATTTTTAGCCATGTAGGCCATGCTGGTTGGCAGGTGCGGTCATCAGACACATTTTTTTAGCTAGATACCCCAATGATGATTGTGGCTAAGTGTGATAAAATTTGGCAAAGTAGTTTCAAAGGAGAAGATTTTTGTAAAAGATTACAAAAATTTATGAAAAACTGTGAAAAATTGACTATAAATGGCAATAACTCCTTAAAGGGTCAATTGATAATTTTGGTCATGTTGACTTATTTGTAGATCTTACTTTGCTTAACATTATTGCTGTTTACAGTTTATCTCTATCTATAATAACATTCAAGATAATAACCAAAAACTGCAAAATTTACTTAAAATTACCAATTCAGGGGCAGGAACCCAACAACGGGTTGTCTGATGAACATTTTTACACTGTGTCAGATTTTCTCTTAATGCTTTAGTTTCAGAGATATAAGCCAAAAACTGCATTTTACCCCCATGTTCTATTTTTAGCCATGTCGGCCATGTTGGTTGACAGGCGAGGTCATCAGACACATTTTTTAATTTAAATACCCTAATGATGATTGTGGCCAAGTTTGGTTAAATTTGGCCCAGTAGTTTCAGAGGAGAAGATTTTTGTAAAAGTTAACAACGGACGACCGATGTCAAGTGATGAGAAAATTTCACTTAGCCAAGGGCCAGGTGAGCTAAAAATGGAAAATATTACTCAAACAATTTCATCACACTAGGTGCTTATCTCCAATATGTAAACTTTTACATAAAATTAATTTCTTTCAAATGTTTTATTTCCAACAGTTGTTGGAAGTATTGAACGGAATATACCTGTGACTTGGTAAAAGTTTCTTTTTTACCTTAACCCTTACCATGCGGTGACCGTCATATGACGGGCTTACCCAATTTACCGTTATTTGGCTCCAATGGCTTTCCATACTTTAAGAGGTCAACTGTATGATATCTATTTCGCAATTGATACATGTTCCCGCAACCTGAAGCTATTTATTGTCAAGTTTCTCATGTTTAAGGTGAATTTTGAGCTCAAATATGAACTTGGAAAATTGAAATCTGATAAAACAGTTCACAGGCCTAGAACCTTCAAAAGTAGTGTAAACTCGCAGGAATATAACTACTGATCGTGTTTGTTATTGAAATCCACTTAGTGAACGACTACTTCAGGTTGCAGGTACAGTTGAAGCCAAAAATAGGGAAAAATTGAGAAATTCCGGTTTTTAAGGGCAAATGACCTTCTTTAGACTGCTGTACCGAGATCAGTATGACTCCGACCTAAGCTTTGTTGTGATTAATGTGTTCACATGGGTCCACTCTGCATGCAGACTACAGTAAGATACATCTATCAGCATCCCTCAGCCTTCCTGGTCAAGAAACAGGATGAAAAATCGTCAGAAATGACGCTTTTTACACCGGATGACCAACTATTGGGCAAATTATAACCCATCCACCCCCTCCTCACCCTGTGATCCCCTATCTTAAATTTAAAGGAATCAATATGCATCAGCAACAGGGTAAATTCATTTGCATATTTTTGGCAAATAAACGAAAATTAGACATTTTCTGAAAACAATTCAGCATGGTAAGTGTTCAGATGTAATTTGAAGAGTTCTAGCTAAGCTTTGAAAAGAACAGGGTGCTACATGTACCTGAACCAAAAATTAAACCATTAAACTCTCTTTCACATATATGTATATATAATCAGCCATATGTTAAATTAAATGGCACCATGCTCTGTATTTCTGAAAGAGGATCATAAATAAATTATTTAACCAAAGTGTCATGGCAACCAGTAAGGTGCAATAAGTAATCAAGAACTGCATATACTTTTCTAGTATCTGTCAACCTGAGTTCAACCTAATTATTGGTAGGGTTGACGTGATTCAATCCTTCTATTTCTGTGAAATGTTTTGAGAACTGTTTCTAGCCGTGTTTTTTTAATTAAAATTTTTATGAGAAATATTTACTGTTCCAGGTTATCTCCAAACAGTTCTTCTCCATCAGCCTCCTCCTCAGCAGCTCCAGCATCCATTTCACTCTCATCTTCAAAGGGAGGTAAATCTCGTCCTGGACTGGAAGTAAGTGGGTCCCCACGACTACTCCTTCGCCCTCTAGAACCCCTAGAAGGACTTGTGGCTGTAGAAAATGGATCTGACGATGTTTCTTCCTGAAATAAATAAACCAAATTCTATAAATCTAGATATACAGCACCCAACAAAACTAACTGCCACCGAGTTTCTGGTTTTTCCACAACGTAATTTTTTGTACACAATTATCAAGTTATATTGCTTTATCCAAGGTTTTGCAGAAAATCTGTCAGGTTGTGGAATCTGAGATTTAGATGAATACAAACTTTCACAACTTTGGCTTTAATGACGAGATTTTCTCTTGCATATTTCAGTAGAAACTATATTTCAAATACTACAATGAATAAAAAATTTAATTTTGTGTTTTGAAAACATATATAATTTAATATTTCATTGCACAAGATCTCCCAATTATCTTACCTAGTATTTTTTTATAAAAATTTTGGGCTCAAATTATTGTTAAATGCCCTTTGCAATAAAAGAAAATAGCAGAACCAACTACCTGATATATGTAACATTACATGTATTTTTCTTTAGATTCTGAAATAGTGGATTTTCATGTTAATATATTGACTGAGCTCTGAAATCCCAAAGCCCAAACCAGTCCCCAAAACTGGCCATCAAACTTTGAACTAATCCAAACTAAGATTTTAACTGTACTTATTGGTTTTTTAATGCAAGATGCCATGTTTGCAATCTTAAGGATTTAAAGTGTCAGAAAGGAAAGTTTCACATTGAGTGAATAACTTTCAATCTGGATAGATGTAAATAAGTGTGGTAGCAGTGTGGAATGCTCTTAGTGACATTGATTTTGAAGTTGGGAAATCTACACTTCAAGAATTCAAATTGGAAATGGTTCATCATAGGATAATGTGTAGGCCAAGATTATATAGTGCAATCACAATAAAAGGTAGGACAATGGTGTTTTTGAGAAAACGTTTAACATACCGCCAAGTGGAAAACGTCATCTCCCATGAACATAATTAAAAATATTTGATAACAAACCCGGGTTCAATTTTACATGACAGCGACTATAGGGCGAACATGAATCAGGTCAAACAGCCCGGATTCACAACAGGAAAGGTAACAATAACCTCACACAAGCATGTGTAGGATCTTCTATATATCTGTCTCAATTCATGCCTTAAAACGTTTCAGATAGTGCAGATTTATGTTTATCTGTAATCAGAACGAATTTAGTAGTCCGTTGTGTAAAAACGACCATACACGTAAATGTTTTTGTGCGTGGTGAAAGCAGAAAAGACGCATCGAAGACCAACTTTCACAAATTTAATACAATGATTATTGTTGATGCTTTCATACTGTGAAATTTCATGTGTATAGTTTTAAAAATGCATGGCAAGATTATATAATCAAATGATAGTTGTCACGGAATAGATTATATTGCAACAAAACTTACTGCCATTGTTTTCCTTGTTGTTTTTCACAATGTGCAATGTGCCATTAAAGCGCGGGAAAGGGTCAATAGGTCACAGAACAGGAAGTTTCAATTGACAAAGCTTATTACCAACGTCCACGTACGTTTGCACCAACAGGAACATTATACATGTACAAGATGATACAAACGTATTCTCAGGTCTCTCTGGGACTATTATACTATGTTAATATTTTTACATAAAATTGAAATCTTTGGATCTTATTCGGGATTAATTATAAATAAAAATAAAACAGAAGGGATATGGATAGGAAAACTCAAAGACAAAATTGCAAATATTAGCTGGACAGATAAACCTGTAAAAGCTTTAGGGATTTATTTTGGACATGCTAATGAAGAATGTGAGAAATTTAATTTTGAAAATAAAATAGATAAAATGGATAAATTACTTTCTCTTTGGAAAAAGCGAAATCTCACTATCTTAGGGAAAATTTTGATCATCAAATCTTTGATTATACCACTCTTCACCTTTTTAGCTAGCTCATGTGTATTTCCAGAAAAATATAAAAAAGAAATAGAAAGAAAATGTTTTAAATTTATCTGGAATGACAAACCAGATATAGTTAAAAGAAATACGATGATTGGTAGTTATAAAAACGGGGGTTTGAATATGATTGACATTGAAAGTCACTTTGAATCACTAAAAGCATCATGGATAGGTAGAATCTTAAATAAAGATATTGCCAGATGGCAACTTATACCTTTAAAATATTTACAAGGCTCAGGAAAAAAATGCCTAGCAGTTTATATGAATATGTATTATAATAAAGTTGATCAATATCTACCTAATATTCCAAAATTTTATAAAAATGTATTAAAAAGCTGGATGAAAGTAGGAGGAGGGCAGACAGATATACCAAAAACCTTTTACAAAATTAGAAAACAAATTATTTGGGGGAATAAATACATTAAATTTAATAACAAAAGTCTTTTTTCAAAAATTGGATAAAAGGTAATTTGATTTATATAAATGATATTTTAGATGAAAATGGAGAAATTTCACAAGATGTAAATTTGCAAAAAATTGAAAATAAATACAACTGGATAGCTGAGTTGACATCCATAAAAAAAAAAGATTGGTTACAATGTCTTAGATCAGAGAATTCCACGAGAAGTATAGTCAATGTAAAAAGACAATGTTTGTCAATAAGTGGTAATTATATTGACATTTCTTTTTTGTCAAATAAGTTATTATATAACAGATTAGTAAAGAAAAAAAGTTGTGAAACCGATTGGTATAAATGTATGGTTAAATGTACTACCATTACAGACAGAATTTCATTTGAAACCATTGTACAACTTTATTTTTTACTATTTAGAAGAAAATAAATTGAAGATGTATCGATGGAAACTTTTACAAAGTATATTACCTACTAAAAAGTTATTGTTTAGATGGAAGGTAACATACAATGATTTATGTAACAAATGCTTTACTGAAGAAGATTATCAACATTATTTTATGTCATGTTCTTTTTTAAACGATTTTTGGAGAAAAAATCATAATTTATTGCAAAAAGTAAATATAGAAAAAGCTATTACATTGAAAGATATTGTTTTTGGCTATAAAATATCTGATAGATATTATTTTGGCTTTAACTATCTTATTACTATTATTGGGTTTTCAATTTATAAATCCTACTATGTATCTGACCAGAAAATGAAAAGACTTGATGTTTTTTGTCTATTCATTTGAGAATTTACAAAACGAATGTATTATTCAAAGAAGTTAGAAGAAGTTAATTTTTTAGTCAGTGTTAAAAAACATTTATTAGATTGAGGTTTTATTTATTAATATAATAGAATTGAAAATTATATTCATTCTTCACAAGAAGCTTGGACTTGTTGAAGACAATGTAACAAGCAACTGATGGAAATAAAGAAATTTTAAAAAGAAAAAACATTTTTACATATATATGTTAGTATAATAGTCCCAGGGTCTCTGTAAAAAAAAAACTAATGTTTAAGAAATTTAGGAATATTGAAAACTTTGCACTATTTAATGGAGCAAAATAAATATGTGTAACCCCACACGCCCCAGCCAATTAATAACATTGCTGAATAATGATCCCCAGTCAGTAAGCTCTAGGTAGATTTAAAGTCTAAAGTACGGACCATTTGATTTGATAGGGCAGTCTGAGATATTTAAGAGAAAAAAATTTGACCCTGGTGTTTGCCTTAAACAAAAATTCTGGCCATATCTGTATTGAAAACAATTATCGTGTCCCCTTTTTTGAAATTAAAAAAAAAAAATCCAACAAAATTATTCAGCATTAATGAACATGGTGAATAAAAAACGGGCGTAATTTTTTTGGGGGGTTTGCATGTAAACTGACCGGAATGTCTGTTTCGCCGAACTGATATACTGAATACTTTTTTCCCAACTGCAACCTGCCTGCTGGGTGTGGCCTTTATGTCTATTTGTCGACCGTCATTCACAACTTCGTTGTCATTTGATTTTCAGACTCATTCGTAGCCTTTGGTTGATTTGGAACCCCTCACTTCCCTTGTTGGGTGAAACATTTCAACCAAACATTTGGATAAAAATTGATTGTTTGTCTTTGTTCGTGTCGGTCGTATTATAAACTTCATTGAATAGCCGTATATCATGTTTACAACAAGAAAGCTGTGAGGTTATGCTTATTAACCATACAACAAACGAGAATTTTCCATGTCCATTTTTTACTGACAAATCCCACATCAAATATATTAGTACATAGCTTTGGATCCATTCAATCATTTTATAATAGACAATTAATGGGGAGAATGCGGCATCAAAAATGTCCAACCCTAGCTTACACTTTAACTATAAAATATACATGCCCCACGTCAGGAATCGTTAAAAATGTGCGTTTTACACTTATTTTATGTTTTTTAGCCCAAAAAAGGTAAAAAAAAATTGCGCCTCGCTCCGCTCGGCGAACTTTACATACTACGCCCCCTTTCCAATATCCTGGATCCGCCCCTGCTTTAAGCTTGCTTTCGTTAACTGCAAGCATTCTTTGATACGGTATTGCTTATTTTTGGGGTGTATTGATTTTTCTTTTATGCATCTTTGTTGTTACACTGATCGACATTAAATAGACAAGGGTTCGAGATATAAATGAAAATTATTTTAACCGCCATAATTGAGGGTCGTAATGGGGGTATCTTCATGACGAATAACGGTAAAAAAAAATCTTGGCAAAGACGTTAACGGTAATTTTTGGTGCATGACGATAAAATGCACATTTTCTTTATGGCGATAAAAAAATCAACTGATTTTGACGAATCACGTTAAATTCTTTCCAAAAATAACGGTAACGGATAATTATTTGAGACCTCCGACGAATCACATTAAGGAAATTTTGACGAATCACGATAAAATTTAAACCAATTTGACGCTAACGGTAGCCGAAAATGACCGGTTGACGCCTGACGGTAAAGAGCATTCCTACCCTCATAATTCACGCGCCTGACGCTGCCCCAAGTGGTTGTCTTTTGTTATATTATATAATTTTGGAGCTTGACACATTATATAAGCACCTGTCATTCAGTGAAGACCGTATTAATAACTAACATCTTTTTGTTTTTGTGTCGGTCGGTTGTTGTGTCTGTGACGTATACACCACATCTCCTTTTATTGATTTAAATGCCCTCATTAGATCTAATGAACATTATCGTTTTACATAATAGACCATTGTGTACGTGACTATCTTACATAAAACATAACTTATGCCCACCAATATTGAAAATACAATTTTTCCTTTGAAAGGCGTACGGTTACTCTTCATGTGACAAATTAAAAGAATAAAACCTATCAAAGATAGATATAAGAAGATGTGGTATGAGTGCCAATGAGACAACTCTCCATCCAAGTCAAAATTTATAAAAGTAAACCATTATAGGTCACAGTACGGTCTTCAACACGGAGCCTTGGCTCACACCGACCAGTAAGCTATAAAGGGCCCCAAAACATTACTAGTGTAAAACCATTCAAACGGGAAAACCAACGGTCTAATCTATATAAAAAACGAGAAACGAGAAACACTTATGAACCACATCATCAGATTCAACATCAGACATGTTTACATCACTATAGATAGTTGGCCTCTGCATATATGTTTCTGCACCTATCAATATAATATCACATCTCTTGCAAATTCTGACAAGACAAAAAATCACACCAAAACAAATATATAGAAAAATTGTGAAGGAGAAAGAATTTTCACTGGCAAAAGAACTAGTTTACAGAAAACTATCAGGCTACATTGTATCAGAGACATAAATACACGTATATATGTCTCTGATTGTATCAAGTTTCCCAGAACCATAATTTTATAATACGTTTTTGACCTCTGCTCAGAAGCCTGTGATATGAATAATAAATAAGTATTTAGATGATCAGAAAATGATTAAACTCATCAAATATCAAATATCATAATAAACTGCAAAAATTATCAATCTACCACTAAGAAGATGGCATTATTCATATAATTGAAAGCTTTTATCATAAGTCATCTGAAAATGCATGGCGGGAAATATTCATTGAATGTACTTTAAGATGAATTTAAAATCTTTTTTTTTTTAAACAAACAAACAAACAAACAAACAAACAAACAAACAAACAAACAAACCAAATACTGTATCCTTAAATAATTTATTCCATGAATATGTCCCACCATGCATTTTTTAATAGATCATTTTAAGATCACAAACGTATATTCTTAGGTCTCTGATAAAACCCCAAACGAATGTTTATAAATGGAAAGCCTCAGCTGTCATATATTAGAGATTTACAAAACGTTATGCTGAAGCTTAAAATGTAAAGTTAAGACAGCGTGATGTTGAATTGAGTCATCAAAATGCTAACTCTAAATTACAATATGCTAGGTTAAATTTGCGCAATGTTGACTTGCAATGACAAGTGCTTTAGTCGTGATAGTATAGTGTTAAGTCACGATGTTGTGATGATATGCCAAACACACGTAACGTTGGGTTTAAAGTACATGATGTGAAGTTGACGTTGCATGATGTTAGCTTG